CTGAGCTGCACAGTTAACACATTTTATTTTCTCTCCATACAGAGCAGTTCTATAATGAAGGCTCGCTGGCCTACAGCCGGTCCAGTGGATGAGATCTTGATTCGATCCTCACAGTATTTGATGGACACTGCCCATGACCTCCGTCTTCGCCTGAAAGCTTACACACAACCGGCCAAGGGCAAGGTATGGATTGACCACACTTTAATTCACACATTTTCTAGTTTTGAAATATGTCTAAATTGAATCGGCAGACCAAAAACCCAATGTAAAATAAAACATTGTCTTCAGGAAGATGGAATGAAAGTGCTAAAAGGCTAACTTGTTTCTGGGTTTTGGCCTACAAAAATGCATCATCCCTCATCTAGGGCTGAGACGATAAATCGATGCAGAATCGATTCGTGGATTGATTCTGAGATCTTCCGAATGCATCGCGATTCTCTATGGAATCGATTCTGAGCTTAGATTTTAACTGCAGATGGCGCTCTAATCTACTTTTTATCCGCACACTCAAATGCTCATGAAGAAGAGCGCTGAAGAGCATGTGACGTCCCCGGGCTGGACGCCACTTCGTCCACGGTGAAAGCCGATCTGGCGATCCACAGCACTAAGATTTGTAGATGGTCTAAAGCAAAAGAGTTGTAAAAACTTTGAAAATCTTTTAGAGGTCCTTGTATTTAAGTTTTCATAATCCCTTTGAAAAAAAAGTATATTTCACTTTAATGAATATATCTGTATATAAAATTATTTCATTTACAAGTGTCATGTTTGATTTTTATTCATGTAAGCTATAGCTTCTGACCTTTAAATCAAAGCATACGCGTGATTTTATGGCATTGATTACTGCTTTATTTAATCAGAAACACAATCTTAATGCTATTTTGTGTATTTTACTTTCATTTTATTACAAGTAGGCCAACAGCGCCCCCTAAGTAAATAAAATGCCTTACCGGACGGGCATTAGGACCCGGGGGAGGCTGTAGCCGCTGCTACTGCACGTATTAGTGACTGTTTATAATACAGCTCACCGGACGTGTTATTCTGTACGTGCATTCTTAAATTAAATACAGCATTCCAAAACAGTCAAGCTAATCATAATTCAAGCAAATGTTCGCTTCAAGAATGACCACACTGCTGATGTGATCTTACCGCTAGCACACCCTGAGCACATGTGAGCTATTCGTTTTATCGGCAAGGCATATCGGCTTAATTTTTCATAACAGGCCGATGCCAATGTTTACATTTTAAGCCATTATCGGACGATTCCGATATCGTTCCGATAATATTGTGCATCCCTAATATAAACACAGCCCACTGTGAACATCCTTGTAATTCGCTTCAAACTTTTCAAAGTTTATGTATGATTATTTTAGGTTCAAGTGTGTGTAAGGATTTGGAAACAAGCAGAGTACTGCTGTTTCTAAAGCATGCAGTTCTATCTGCTGTTCAAAACTAAGCTCAGAATCGACTCGAGAAAGATTTGCGATGCATTCAGAAAATCAAAGAAACAATGCTGAATCATTTATCGATTCGCGATGCATCGATTTATTTTCCCAACCCTACCCTCATCACTCTATTAGAAATGAAAACCACTAGGGTTCCCACTATACAATATCACCACAATGTAATAAGTTTTTTTTGTTTGTTTGACATGTTGCCATGTGTTTTCTTTCTTATTTTGTCATTACATTAATTAGTCAAGTGTCTGTTCTCCTAAGTTCTCCTGGGCCATGCAGAGTAAAATGTTCTTAACAACAGTGTTCATGGGATCCTTAACCAAATTCACATGTAACATACCAGCTTGTCAACAAGTTGACAGTGAGGGAACCAGTCAGGAAATTAAAGTGTTTTGGCAAAGCTTTGCATATTGCAGTGAAACTTGGTAAGTTTCCTTAAAGGGTTAGTTTACCCAAAAATGAAAATTAGCCCATAAATTACTCACCCTCAAGTCATCCTAGGTGTATATGACTTTTCCAAAGCAGTTAAATAAAATGTGCCCATCCATAAAAAAATTGAAAAAAAGGTGTCTCACACGGCTCCGGGGGGTGAACAAAGGCCTTCTGTAGCGAATCGATGCGTTTTTGTAAGAAAAATATCCATATTCAAACCGTAATAATCACTTTAATCTAGCTTGCGCTCACTGTTGTACACTGGAAGCAGTTCCGGGCGGATGAGGTATGAGGTCAGTGCTGCGCATGCGCCAATGAGTCTCGTGAAAACCAACGTTTGTTAACGGGAGCAAAGGAAGCAAAGTTTCCAAAGGATTTGGAAACAAGCAGAGTACGGCTGTTTCTATATTTATATCATTTATATTTATATTATACATATATATCATACATATTTTAAGCAATAATTATAGTTTTATCGCCCAGCCCTAAAGTGCCATATTGACATATTGACAAGTGCCATCGCATCGAAAAGCCAATCACAGTAATCTCTCATGACAGCGACGACGACATTTCAACATGTTGAATCAGCCGTAAAGTCAAGGGCAAAAACTGGGCTGACAGACGCTCAATGATGGTCCGGTTGTCGGCATGTTGTGTAACAGTTTTTAGGGTCCCTCTGAACTTTAGGAACTGCACCTCCTAGTGGCCGAAATTGGCTATGTTTGCCAATTTCTGTTGAACCGTTTATTCTGAAATCATATTTCTGGTGACTCTTTAAAATAGTGCGCAAGTTGCAGCATATCTGCACTGTTGTGCTTGGTCCTGTAATTGCTGCTTGCAGCTATATTTATAATAATTAATATAATAATACACAATTTTAATGGTTCAAACTTTTTATCTCTATGATGAGAATTCACCAAACTTTGCACTCAGGAAAGGTCAGTAGCTAATTTCTTGGATTGAATGCATGGTTGCATAGCAACTAGTGTTAAATGTGATGTTCAAAACCCTAAACCCTGCTACCTCAACATTAAAGTTTGAGTAATTTATGAAGATTTTCAGTTAGGTTACTTTATGGTAGCTACACGTTGGGGTTGTACTTGAAATTTGTAGCACTATTCATAAAATCCTTGTAACATTAAGCTATTAGACAGAGATCTCGCACCTCCAGACACCAGCAGTCCAGCATGCTGCCCAACCCCACCCAAACATAACTGACATTAAGAATGAAGCAAGTCGACAGCTGTCATATAGAGTGAGTCCAGCGCTGTCCCAGACCTCCCCTGACAGAAGAGTAGTGCATTATCCCTCGCTTTTAACATGGGACGGTTTCCCTACAGTCTGTTTCTACCTATGCTGAGGCTTATGTAAGCGTTATGAGTCAAAGCTCAGAGGAGGGAGGCTTTTCTCAGTCCTGTTGTTGGGACCATGTGGTAATGGATGTCGCTTTGAATAAGGAGTTGTTGTGCTGATGTGTTTTAGAAGGTTTTAGACTGTGAAGGAAACTGTACTGGTGGTAACTGGATATAAAAATAAGAATATAAAACTGGATATAAAAGTAAGGCTAGGGTTCAATTTATAGATTTAAAGTATACTTTCAAAGGGGTCATATGATGCTGCTAAAAAGAACATTATTTTGTGTATTTGGTGTAATGAAATGTGTTTATGCTGTTTAAGGTTAAAAAAAACATTATTTTCCACATACTGTACATTATTGTTTCTCCTCTATGCCCCGCCTTTCTGAAAGGCATCGATTTTTACAAAGCTCATCGGTCTGAAAAGCGAGGTGTGCTCTGATTGGCCGAATACCTCAAGCGTGTGACGGAAATGTTACGCGCCTTACCATATTGTAATGCCTTGTCCCGGCCGGAGCAACGAAATAAAAACATTAAAACCCATTATAAACGAGGCATTTGTTGCATCCAGTGAGGACATAATTATGGATTATAATGACTTATACTGTCTTTTTACATGTTGCGTTGCATCGCACTGCGTAAACATAAAACCATGTCTGCATTTGTGATCGGAGAAATGACAAACAACAAGTGCTACTCTACACTGCTCAAAACTC